TAAGGTGGATGGTCGGGCAGAGAGGCGCGCTCGAGGACACCCGTTCTCGGCAGACATACTGGCAGCACCCTTGCCAAATAATTACAAGGATACTAACTTGGTGTTCGATGGGACTTCTGATCTGTCGAGACACGTGAGGACATTTGAAAATATGGCTGTGCTGCACGGATATACTGACCCTGTCAGTTGCAGGGCCTTTTTATCGACCCTTAGGGAAGGGGCGCTCGACTGGTTCCAACAGCTCCCCCCAGGCTCGATAGTGGACTTTGAGAATTTTGCGGAGAAGTTGACAAATCAATATTCGAGCGAGGTGGCTCAGGAGAAAACGTATTTGACATTGATGGCGATGAGACAAGGCGAGAAGGAGTCACTGCGTAAATATGTTGCTCGATACAATCAGGCTTGTTTGGAGATTCCATCGGCGGTCGACGTGGTCAAGGCGGGAGGGCTGATAAGAAGTCTGCGGGCAGGACCGTGTCGGACCTCTCTGGCTAAGACCCTTGCTCACACGTATGATGAAGTATTGAGGAGGTGCAGGAAATATATCAATGTCGAGGAGACTGAGGCGGAGTTTGCCAAACTAGAGGAGCTAGGTCGAGGGGAGTCAAGGAAGGAGAAAGCAGTTTCGCCTAAAAGGAAAAACTCGCCCAGGAGGGAGGGGCGAGCTAAGCAAGATCGAGGGCGAGAGGACAGGTGGAAGGACCGACCTATCTCTGGAGGGAAGAGATTCCACGATTACACCCCACTGAACGCGAAGGTAGCCGAGGTTCTGATGGCTATGGAGAAAGGGATAGATGGGAAGGATGTGACGTGGCCAAGGTCGAGGTTCGAAGGGCCCACCCAACCGAAGTCGAGGAGATATTGCCACTTCCATAAAGACTATGGCCATACTACTGAGGATTGTCGGCATCTCAAGGACGAAATTGAGCGCCTTATTCAAGCAGGGCATCTCAAGGAGTTTGTCTATCAGGATAAGGGGAGGAGAAAGGAGAAGAGAAGGTGTCGGGAGGAATCGGCAGAGAGGAGTGAGGAAAACGATGATGAGGATGCGCGAGGTGGTCGAGATGCTCAAAAAAGAGATGAGGGGAAGAGGAGGCGAGGAAGTAGAGAGCGGGAAAGAGAAGGAGATGGAGGCCAAGTAAAGAGAGGCACAATATATATGATTTCAGGAGGACCAACTGACGGGGACTCGAACAATGCGAGAAGAGGCCACGTTCGAGCAATGAAAAGGAAGAGGGAAGAGGTGAGTATCACGACTCGCATGCCGGTGATAAGTTTTAAGGCGGAGGATGCCGAGGGGGTGGTCCTGCCGCACAATGATGCCTTGGTGATAACTGCGGAAGTCGCAGGTTTCGACGTGAAGAGGGTATTCATTGATACTGGGAGTTCGGTAGATGTGATGTTCTACGACTGTTTTGTGCAGATCAACAGGGAGCTGAATATGGAGCTGAAACCGGTGACCACGGCACTTTATGGCTTTAATGGGGGAGAGGTTATGCTGATGGGAGAGGTTAGTTTGCCCGTGGCATTGGGATGAGGAGAGTTGAGAAAGGTGCGCATGGTGAGATTTGTGGTCGTAGGCGCTGAGTCGTCATATAACATCATCATGGGACGGACGAGCTTGAACGCATTCCAGGCGGTCGTATCCACGTACCACATGAAGATCAAATATCCGGTGGGCGAAAACGTAGGGGAGATTGCCGGAGATCAGCTCACTTCTAGAAGTTGCTATCAAACGACAGTCAGCAATAACAAACAATTGGCGAAAAGGCAGACCGAGTCGAAAGGGGAAGAGATTAATCGACCAGGGGGATCGAGGTCGAGGGAGGACAGGCAAAAAGTGGAGAAAGGTAAGGAGAAAATGGATATCCAACCTGGGGAAGAAGTTGAGGAGATTCAGATGATCGAGGGGTGTGAAGGGAGAAAGTTCAGGATCAGAAAGGATTTGGGAGAACCTATTCGGTCGAGGTTGATCCAGTTGGTTAGGGAGTTCGCTGATATTTTTGCCTATACGGCAGAGGAGTTAACGGGAATAATCCGGAGAAGGTTCGAGCATCGGCTAAACATCGACCCCAGCGTGAGGCCGGTGAAGCAGAAGAGGAGGCACCATGGGGCGGAGATGGATACGATCATCGAGCAGGAGGTCGAGAAACTGTTGGGAGCAAGACATATTAAGGAGATTCAGTTCCCCGAATGGTTGTCAAACACGGTGATGGTGTCGAAGGCGGAAGGGAAGTGGAGGATGTGCATCGATTTCCGCGATCTGAACAAAGCATGCCCGAAGGATTTATATCCGCTTCCTAGGATCGACCAGCTGGTCGAATCCACAGCCGGGTGTGAGCTACTCAGTTTGATGGACGCATCCCAGGGTTATCATCAGATCCCTCTGGCTCGTGAGGATTGGAAAAGGGTCAGCTTTGTAACAAGCCGTGGAACATACTGCTATGTGGTGATGCCTTTCGGGCTAAAGAATGCGAGGGCGACATATCAGAAGTTG